AGAAGAATGGATTGTGATTGGTTGACATGGTTTGCAAAGTTAACACAAAAACTTTGGTTAACATTTGATCTTGTCCCTATATATATATATATATATATATATATATATATATATATATATATATAATTATATTTGAGGGTCTAGAGTGTAGATGTATCTCTTATATATATCCCTGATTGTAATCGTGATTTATATATACGAAACACAAAATTACAAGTTTATCTTGGTATCAGAACTGGCCCTAGACACCCTACAGCTGCCGCCCTACAGTTGCCATCACAAGGCAACCCTAAAGCTACCGCACCCGTCTTCTACCCTACGGCTGCCGCATCTTCTGCTGACCACCCTCTGCCATCACAAGGCAACCCTAAAGTTACTGCACCCGTCTTCTACCTATGGTTGCCGCACCTTCTGCCGACCACCCTCTGCAATCACAAGGCAACCCTAAAGCTACCGCACCCGTCTTCTACCCTACGGCTGCCGCACCTTCTGTCCAATGACAACTGTTGCAACTTTCACTCCAACTGAGAAAACCACCCATAACTCCCGGCAAGTTTGGTTTCACTTTATCACCAAACAACTATGGCTATTGGAAGGCAATGGTTCAACCGTTCCTTGTTACAAACAAGCTATCCGGCTATGTTGATGGCACCATTCCCTGTCCACCGATGGCTATCTCATCATCATCATCATCTGGATAAGATGCCGACGGCACCTCAGTGCCGCCACCACAACCGAATCCTAACTACACAGCATGGGTTTCCAATGATGTACACGTACGGATGCTGATTATTTCTAAATCTCTGAGGCGTCGTTCCAACACGTTCAAGGACATACCTCCCGTGATCTTTGGTTGTCTCTTGAACATGCTTACGCTCCTCACACATCATCTAGGGAATACACCCTAAAAACTCAGCTTCTAAACTAGAGATAAAGCCTGCTGAAACCTCCTCCGCATACCTGACTTGCCAATATAGGCGAACCAATGAAAGAAAAAGATTTGGTGATGCTGGTTAACTCGGGTCTTAGAGAAGAATACAACGCGCTGAAGTCAACACTCCTTGGTCGCCAATTCCCAACTGCCTTTGCAGAACTTCATGGCCTGCTATCAGACCATGACTACATGATCAAGAAAACTACAACCGAAATCTCTCCACCTCAAGCATTCACGACTGTCGCGAACAACCGCAACTCAGCGGTTCCTAGTGCCACCTCGTCTACTCCTCAACCGAATCAACTTCAAGCCATTCAGCAGCTTCTGTCACAACTTGGTCTTCAAATTCAGCCTGTTAATACACAGCCTGCACAGGCCTTTTTTTTATAGAGAGGGGGGAGACCCCTCCAGATCAAGAAAAAAAAGCTAAAAGCCAAACAATGAAGCGCGCGGGTAGGAGGTAAACCTCAACTACCAGCCAGGAGAAACCAAGGCACCCCGAGGGGAAAGAGAAGAAAGGAGGACAAGAAAAAGAGAGGGGAGAGAAGGAGAGAAAAGAAAAACAGAGAAAGG